TGGAGTAGCGGGACCCAGAGAGACCCCAGGTACTCATGAGAGCCATGCAAAATCACTTGCACACACACTGCTAAGGAGTCGAAGGACATAGAAGTGTAAGTAGGGGGTCATTTAATTTTAGGAATTTTACTTTCTGTCCAGTTCTTTGTTCAATAAATTGAACAATCAGTGTTCAATTATGTTGTTTCAGTGGACACAGGTTTTTGCCAGGAAGCTTAAAGTCAATGGCAATATGGCTAGCAGGACTAAGGAAGGCAAGAAGGCCAGTTACCCAGGCAGATGTGGAAGTATGAGTCCCAGTCTGGGGAATGCACTAGGAGCTGCTGACCACTGGCCCTTCGTGAGCCTGGGAGGCTGAGAGAGGCCAGGAAAGGCCTAAGGCTCAGGCAGCCCTGGCTGGCCACTTAGTGGCCATTGTTAAGAACTGCAGTCTCCAGGCCTCATGCCCCTCTTGCCAGGCAGATCACTCACATCCTCCTTTAATTTTTCTGCTTGCATCAGTAATATATGCTTAGTATTAAAGAATTCAAAAAAATATACAACTACAAGAAAGAAAGTTAAAGTCACATGAAGCCCTGTCATCCAAAATAAAACAGTATTCACCGTTTAGAAAATATGTTTTAAAGGCCCTGCTTCGCATTAGCAAACACAGTTTTTTAAGTCTGCTTTTTTTCCCTTACACCTCTGTTTTGTATCTCTCCCTCCTCTAGCAATAACCACAGTAAACAACTCGATGTTCATCCTCCCCAGCCTCTCTCTATGTAATATGCAAACACATGCACACACCTGAATAGGAGTTCTTTTCTTTTTATTTGGTGTTTGCAGATATGGGATTCCCTCGGTATCTCATTGGCTCTTGCTTTTCTCATGGCACAACACGGTATAGAAATTACTCTTGACATCACTGGTGAAGCTCCAGCACATTTTTTTTTTGGTAGTTGTATGATATTTGAGAGATTTGTAGAGTGTAAATGTATTCAACAATTCTTTAATTGCTGAGCAGTTACATCGTCGTTTTTTTTATGTGGGATTTTTTGTGGGGGGGGGATTGTTGTTCCAACTATTGCTACAACAAACATTTTCGTCCTTCATATATGTCTATATAATGATGTTTTGTTAATCTGAGACAGTCCAGAGTGGGACTGAAAATCAAAAGCTATGTGTGCCTTTTTATTTTAACAGTATTTAAAAGATCGACTTCTAAAAGAAATTAAAAGACTGCATCTTCCAATAGTATTTCATGTTTTGTCTGATAAACATTTATTAAGCCCACGCTCTGTGTCAGACATTGGTTTAGCAACTTGGATTCAACAATGAATAAAACAAAGATTCCAGCCCTCAGAAGATTAATCCTAGAAATGGAGTAGGAAGGAACAAATGAAACAATAATTATAGTAAACACTTTACTATTTGGATGTGTGTTGCACTAACTTCTTATTTCTTATCTTTACACATTTTTCTGTTGAATGGATTATATGCTACAATATGCTTCCTGTCCATATTTTATGAGCTTCGTATTTATTCTGAATAGACATTTATCTGATGCTTTGCAATCTCTTACCCAATCTATTGCTTATCTATAGACTTCATGAGTAGTTTCTTATACCATCTAATATTTTTAATGTTTATGAATTTGTACATTTTTTGTTTTCTCTTAGCTTCTGGCTATTCTATCTTTGCTAATAGTTGTTTCCAAACTCTGGGTTATATACACAGTTTCTTACATTTCTTTTAATTACATTTTAATTTTTTATTTTTTTCATCAGTACACCTAGAATTTATTTTTAATATGGTGTGAGGTCGGGGATCAATTGTATTTTCCTTAAGGTAAATAGCCATTTTTCCAATACCACTTATTAAAATAAACTATCAATTTTCTATTGAATTAAAATGCAATCTTTTTCACATATACAGTTCTGTATCCACCAAAATCTGTATGTTTTTTATTCTTCTCTGATGATTGTTGTCTACTTTTCTTATTCCAATTTCATGCTGCTTTGACCACAATCTTCTATTTCATAATTATAAAGCTAGTTTAAAACTTAATTTAGTCATGTAGAGCTTCAGATGATTTTATCCAATTGTGAATTATAATTTTAATTAAAATAACATTCAACTTATATTAAGAAGAAGAAAAAATCACAATAAAAAAGAGAACAGAGTATAATAATTACAGACAATACTACATAAAACTTTATGGCAACAAATTAGAAAATGTAGATGAAATTAAAGATGTCCTATAAATCATCAAAATGGCACAAGGAGGAGAAAAATAAGAATAGATCATTCCTATAGAAGAAATTGGAAATGTCTTTAAAGGTTTATTATTTGAAAGGGCCCCAGACACAGATGGCTTCACAGCTGAGTTCCATTTAGCCTGTAAAGAACAGATAACCCCAATGTTATGAAACCACGCAAGACCGTAAGACAACAAAGAGAGAGCTCCTCAATACTCCTTACAAAGCCAGTGCAGCTTAATGCTAATATCTCATAGGCAAATCTCCCTTGGGAATACAGATTCTGATTCTAAATACAATATTAACAAATAGGGCCAAGCATGATGGCTCACACCTGTAATTTCAGCACTTTGGGAGTCTGAGGTGGGTGGGTAGCTTGAGCTCTGGAGTTTGAGACCAGCCTGTGTGACATGGCAAAACCCTGTCTCTACCAAAAAATAATAGTAACAAAAAATTAGTAGGGCATGGTAGCACATGCCCGTCATCCTGGCTACTTGGGAGGCTTAGGTGGGAGAATCGCCTTAGACTGGGAGGCAGAGGTTGCAGTGAGACAAGATTAGGCCATTGCACTCTAGCCTAGGTAACAGAGTGAGACACTGTCTCAAAACAAATAAAATAAAACAATTAGCAAATAAGAATCCATCCATGTGCTGAATAGACTAATATGCTGTAATCAAATAGCTTTTATTCCAGGAATGCAAGGATGTTTCAATAACAGAAAATTTACCAACATAATTTATTACATTGACAAATTAAAGGTGAAAATGTATCATATTGATAGATACTGAATGGGCACCTGGTAAAATTCAGTAGCCATTCCCAATACAAACTACAAACCCAGAATCTCTTTCTCTCTCCTTTCTAACATATTTTTTTTTTTTTTTTTAAGATGGAGTCTCACTCTGTTGCCCAGGCTGGAGTGCAATGGCATAATCTCAGCTCACTACAACCTCCACTTCCTGCATTCAAGTAATTCTCCTGCCTCAGCCTCCCGATTAGCTGGGATTACAAGCCTGTGCCACCAGTTTTTGTATTTTTACTAGAGACAGGATTTCATTGTGTTAGCAAGGCTGGTCTCAACTCCTGACCTCAAGTGATCTGCCCATCTCAGCTTCCCAAAGTGCTGGAATTACAGGCATGAGTCACTGTGCCCTGCCAAACCCATAACCTCTAATCCCAAGTAGCTGGGATTGCAGGCCTACACCACCACTTTTGTATTTTTACTAGAGATGAGGTTTTACCATGTTAGCCAGGCTGGTCTCGAACTCCTGACCTCAAGGATCTGCCCACCTCAGCCTCCCAAAGTTCTGGGATTACAGGCCTGAGCCACTGTGCCCAGCCATAATCTCTTATTCAAACCTCTGAAACCCTAAATCGCTGAACCGAAATGATACTTGTAACCCTGGCACTATAATTTACTTGGTGGTGATCTGAGCTTACATAAAGCTGATCTGAGCTTACATAAAGAAATTCTTCTACGTAAAAAGTGTCATTTCTTAAAACTGTAAAGTATTATGTGTTCTGTATGCAAAACATACTTTACAAAACACACTTGTGAAGTTTTTGCTTCTGTGGTTTTCCGTCCTATATCAAAAATTATTGCAGTATTTTCTTTTTCAAAGTGGGTTTGAGGAGAAATGACATGAGGAAGGTGCTTTCAACTCTCTGGGAGAAATACATGACTGTGTTTCATTTAATCCAAGTCACCCCTGATAGGAAGGCTAGCATTTAGTTTATCATTAAAATAGAAAAAATATGCTGCTACTAATTATGTTGCAAAGCATCCTCCATTGTAAGAGGCCTCCCAGTTCAGAGACATTGAAAGGGGAAAATGGTCCATCTTAGAATTGATGAAATATGGTGCGTACATCCAAAGGAAATCACCACTAACAGCACGGCCTTCCGACAAGTGTGGGGACTTGGGTGCTTCCTCTCTGTGATGTCTGCGTCTCTGGAAAGAGGCTGTCAGCGCGGGAGTGCAGGGGTCTCAGAACAGACGACTCCAGCTGGCTCTGCACCGGCCAGTTGTTTGACTCTGAGCAAGCTCCTTAATATATAAGTAGCACCCCTGGAATGAGGATGGTGACAACATGGTGGTGTTGGTGGCGTCAAAAGGGTCTTTCCTGCATCTGCCATCCTAAGATTCTTTACTGAAAGGAAAAACCTGACCACAACTTCCTCCCTTTAAGGAGACCCCCCGATGTTACTGTGAAGTGGCAGCTGGGCCCCGATGTCTGTGCTGTCAGTCTGTCGTAAATGTATGTAGTGTGTCCCCCACAAATCTGAGTGCAAGAGAGGCTTGGTCATGCTCTAACAAAGCCCCTGCTGTTTACCAAAGAGCTAATGAGCCCAGAGAGAAAATGTCACTTTCCCAAGTGACACAGCCCGTGACAATGTGAAGACTAAACCCAGAGAGCCCAGACATGTCAATAGGCTCTTTCTAGAACACCGCATGGCCTCCTGCTCAGGCTCCCGTCCCCTGAGGACCGGGATACACCCCAGTGGTCTCTGGTGGTTATCTCCAGCCAGATGATTTCTATGTGCTAAATGCCGTGCTTTCTGCTCTATGGACCCCTGAAAAAAGATGGGTACACACTTACCTCACCCCTACTTGTACCCACGTTCTGACTGTGAGGTCTTTGCTTTCCCACTTCCACCCTACCTTTCTAGTCAGCCTCCCGGAAGGGGCTGGGGAGTCCCTCTGTGTAGAGGATCTGACGCCCTGCCCTCTCATATCCTCCGTCTGCTGTGTGCCTCGAACAGGATGGGGATGGTGAGCAGCAAAAGGCAGGTCAAGGAGAATGACAAGGGCCGATGGAGCCCCCTGAAGGCCAGAGCCCAGGACAAGGCCCCCCCACCACTGCCACCCCTGGTGAGTGATCCCCCACCCCCAGCCAAGAGCAGGTTACTTACTTCTCCTATGCCTTAATGTCCACATCTGTACAATGGGTATAGCAAAAGTGCCTTCCTAATAGGGATGTAACGATCTGCACTGTGTAAGCAGGTGTGCCATGCAATACAACATACACAGGAACCGGCCTGGTTAGCGCCCAATAATTCTTAGCCAGAGCTCATTCCTCAAGGGCAGCTTGGAAGAGAATTAAAAAGGTCAGCTTGGGGAGAGGGTGTCGTAAGGGAGCATGCGGGTCTCTAGCTGCAGCCACTCCTTCTCTTCTTCCCAGCAGCTCCTGGAGACCCTTGGCTCCTACGTGGCATTGCCGTTGGCATTGCAAAGCACCTGCTCTCCTGAGATAAGCATCATGAGACAGGAGGGTGCCTGTCCTCACCTCCCAAGCAGGCTCTCAGGTTTTACTGGAATGCCATGGGCATTTTAAATGAGAAAAACTTTCCAAAGGAAAAAAAAGTGAAATTTCAAGTGAAAAGTCTTATTGCTGGGGAATGCATCTTCCTAGTCGTGCAGTTTGGTTTCTTTGTAAAGCTGCTAGTGCCCTTTGATGGCTACTGCATGTCTGAAGATGCATTTTTTTTTTTTTTTGAGACAGTCTTGCTCTGTCACCCAGGCTGAAGTACAGTAGTGCAACCTTGGCTCACTGCAGCCTCCGCCTCCCAGGTTGAAGTGATTCTCTCTCATGGCTCAGCCTCCCGAGTAGCTAGAATTACAGGCACATGCCACCATGCCCAGCTAATTTTTGTATTTTTAGTAGAAATGGACTTTCACCATGTTGGCCAGGCTGGTCTCGAACTCCTGATCTCAGGTGGTCCGCACTCCTTGGTCTCTCAATGTGCTGGGATTACAGGCGTGAGCAACTGCACCTGACCTGAAGGCGCGTTTTAGACGACTCTGTGTGCCTCCCACTCCTTGACCAGTGACCTCCTTTTGGTTTGGGGCAGTCGGGAGCCATGCCTGGACCCTCTCCCCTGCGCTGTCCTCATGCCCACGTGGTCACCTCTTTATCTTAGCAGGAGCCTGATGGGGAGACAGGGATTACTAATCCCACTTCCTAGATGAACCCAGCTCTCTTATCTGTCGGTGTCCCAGTTTCATGCCAGGCTCAGCACACAACCGTAAGATGTTTGTTGAATAAATAATTGATCAAATGGGGAAACTTGAACTTAGACTGATTGAGTAATTCCCCAAAGTTTTATGATAATAAGTAATAGCACCTGGAGTTTTTTTAACTTAAAAAAGTCACATGATACATATTAATTATGGAAGAAACTATAATTACTCTTTATTCCACTATGTAGAGTCACCAGGGCTAGCTCTTCAGAGCTCCTGCCTCAAGACCCTTCTTCTGTGTGTTCTTTAATTCATGGGTTCATATTTTTAATAGAAACATACATACGTAGCATTTGCAGAATGCTACTTCAAAACTGTGTTCGATAAATATGGAATTAAAAAAAATATATTGGCCTGGGCGCAGTAGCTCACACCTGTAATCCCAGCACTTTGGGAGGCCAAGGCTGGTGGATCACCTGAGGTCAGGAGTTCAAGACCAGCCTGGCCCACATGGTGAAACCCCCCATCTCTACTAAAAAATACAAAAATTAGCCAGGCTTTGCTTTTTAATATTATCACATATATATATATATCCCTAAACAATAGTTTCATTTTTCATGTTGTAAGCTTTAAATCAGCTACATCCAACATCACATATGCTTCTGAGACTGGTGTTTCGGCTCCGTGTTACGCATGTAAGATATACCAACATGGATGCACGTGGCTAGAGCTCATTAATTTTATTGCATGAGTATACTGTGATTTGTTTATTCTTTGTCATGAGGGTTAGTTCCACGTTTTAAAATTGTTTATCTACTGGCCAGGCATGATGGCTCATGCCTGTAATCCCAGCACTTTGGGAGGCCAAAGAGGGCAGATCACTTGAGGCCAGGAGTTCAAGATCAGCCTGGCCAACATGGTGAAACCCCATCTCCACTAAAAATACAAAAATTAGTTGGGCATGGTGGTGGGCACCTGTAATCCCAGCTACTCGGGAAGCTGAGGCATGAGAATTTCTTGAAATTCTTTTTGACCTCCTGCAGCCTCCTCATCCTCCATGTCCACACAGCATGGGGAAAGGCTGGCTCAGCTAGCCTGGGTCGCACCCATTAACCTGCTCACGCCACGTGCACCAGGAGGCAGAGATTGCAGTGAGCCAACATTGCACCACTGTACTCCAGCCTGAGCAACAGAGTGAGATTCCATCTCAAAAAAAAAAAAAAGGAGAAACAAAATTGTTTCTGTGTTGTTATTTTTGCTAGGAGCACTCTTGTACACGATTCCTGGTACACATACTCAAATGTTTCTTTATAGGATATACATCTACGAATATGTTTGTTGAGTTTTGGGGAAATATGCTTCTTAAATATTTTTTCTTGTCCACAAATACCCATTTTCAGTTTGCTCTTTTAGGGGTAGAGCCAGAATGTTAAGCCCAAGTGATTGGACTTCCCCTCATTCTCCACAGCTACCTCCTATCCACCCTGGGGGGTCCCCCACACGGTCACGGCGAAGGCAGCAGAGGGCGGGGGTCTATCTGAGGGTGGTGCTGGTCCCTGGGTTCAGAATTTCCCTGTGCAGCCCCCACCGCGGCTGCCTCTCCTCCCACAGTGGGTCCCCGGAGATAACCTGGCTGCCTGCTCAGCAGCCTCATCCATCCTGCCAGGCCCCGCGCCTGTGGCAGGGACTGAAATAACTCATGCCTGGTCTCTACCCAAGGTTGTCTTTAACCACCTTACTCCTCCACCGCCCGAGGAACACCTGGACGAAGGTAAGAAGGGTGCTGTGGGAAGCTGAGTCTCCACGGCGCCCTCCCCCAGGTTTCAGCCTTGTGGAGTTGGAACAGGAAATAGTCGGGAGCAGCTTGAGGGCTGGAGAAGAGACAGAGGGGAGGCTGAGCGGGGCCCAGGCTCCGTGCCTTTTGGGGGTGTCTTCAGGAACCAAGCATGAATTTCTTTAGTTTGCCTGAGCCCAGATGGGACTTTTAAAAAATGAAAGACTTTACAAACTGTAAACAGGAACAAAAACAAGGGTCCCAGAGAAGACACACACCAAGCTTGCAGAGAGTCTAACTCCCAAACTCAGAGGCTGGGCAGTGGCTCAGGCCCTTGCCTCCAGCCCTGGTCCACTCCCCGTGGAGGGCGCCCTCTTGTTCCCCCTCCCAGCCACTTCGACAGTCCCCTGCTGACCACCTAACCACCCATGCCCCCTCCCTGATCCCCAGATGTCACCTTTTTATATTTTTTTTCTTTTTTGAGACAGAGCCTTGCTCTTGTCGCCCATGCTGGAGTGCAGTGATGTGATCTCAGCTCACTGCCGCCTCCACCTTCTGGGATCAAGTGATTGTCCTGCCTCAGCCTCCTAAGTAGCTGGGATTACAGGTACACACAACCATACCCAGCTAATTGTTATGTTTTTAGTTGAGACACAGTTTCACCATGTTGGTCAGACTGGTCTCAAACTCCTGATCTCAGGTGATCTTCCCATCTCAGCCTCCCAAAGTGCTGGGACTACAGGCATGAGCCACTGCGCCCAGTCCCCAGACTCCACTTCTGCTGTGGTGGGCCAGCCTGCTGGATGCCGTAGGGAATGATCTTGGCCTTCCTGGGCCAGAGGCTCCACCCTCGGGACTCCCAGGAGGTTGCCTTGTTCACAGTGACCTCCCGCAGCCTCCTCCTCATCCACGTCCACACAACATGGGGAAAGGCTGCCTCACGCAGCCTGGGTCGCACCCATTAACCTGCTCACGCCACGTGCACTGGGCATTCAGCACACAGGGCGAGAGTCTGTCCCAGGAATGGCGAAGGGGTAACAATGGGTAGACGCAACTCCTTCCCTGGGAAAGCTCAGAATCTGTCACACTCTGAGCAGAACTTGGATCTTAAAACTTCAGGGAACCACTGTCGCCTATTCCAACCCCCTCTTTCCTGCTGAGAAGAAGTGACCAGCCCAAGGTCACACCCCTCAGCTCAGTGACAGAGCTGAGCCACCTCACCCAGGGAAGCTAAGTGCTCTCCAGGTGACCTTCACCAGGTGGGTCCTGTGGCTCCCAGGGCTGTGCAGAGAGCCCTCATCACAGAGGTACTCATTTGAAAACGGTGCTCCAAGCTCCTGAGCCCTCTTGCCCCTTCCATCCAGGGCCCGCCAGCAAGTCAGGGGATCCATGGGGCACTGGCAGCCACAGGCAGTGTGGCAGGTCTCGGGCACAGACAGTGGGGGGGCCAGGGCTCCAGCTGCCACGTGGCAAGACCACCCCTCTTGGGCACAGAGGCGGGAGGAGGCAAAGGAGGAAAAGGACAAGAGGCGCTCACAGGCCTCTGAGAGCAGGTGTGGGATAAGAAGATGAGGGACTGCCAGCACTGGCTCCCGGTGTGGGCCTGAGGCCACCAGCCTGGTAGTGGCTGCCTCCCTGTGCTGACCTCTGGCCATCAGCGCCCTCACACACGCCCTGCCCAGGCCACAGGGCTTCTTAGTGGGTCCAGAAAGGAGGACAGGATGGGCTCTCGGGGCAGCCTGTCCTGGTGGGGTCACAGGTGGGGTCCCAGGCAGGGGTGGGGGCCCGTTCTGGATGAGAGCATCATCTCCAGCATGGGCAAGCAGAAGCCCATCCCTCTTGGTAGCCAGAGGTTGCTCCCATCATAGGCTTACCCCAGCCCCGCCCTCCCTCTCGGGGGCCCGGGCGGTGGTCATCCCTCCCTCCATCTTTTCAGACGAGCATTTCGCGGTAGCCCTCTATGACTACGCCGCCGTGAATGACCGGGACCTGCAGATGCTGAAGGGGGAGAAGCTACAGGTCCTGAAGGGGTGAGGCTCCAGGACACTATCCCCTGTCCCTGCAGGACTTCTGCCACATCCCTCCCTCCTCTGCCCGCCACATCCTCCATGGCTGACCCCAGAAATCTTCTCCATTGCCCTGCTCCCATCCCTGGCCCCAGCATTTTCTTGAACTTGGCTCTTTTGTCCTCCTCTCCAGAGTCTTTCTGGTGAAGTGGTTTCCATTCGCAACTTCCTGCTCATCCTTCAAAACCCACGTTCCATGCCACCACCTCCATGCAGCCCCCATGACTCCTTCGGGCGTGTGGATCTTGTCCTTTATGCAGGCCAGTCTGGCTGTTCCTTGAGAGCCTTGCATTTAAGTCAGTCGTGTCCATATTTGTCTCCTTCTCAGGACAGACACCCACATGGATTACACACACCCATCCTGCTTTAGCTCATTTCCGTGTCCTTCTCAGAAACTCCATCTAGGTCCGCTCTCTGGGTGACCAGGCTTGTCCCGTGGAGCTCTGAGGGGCTGATTTTGTTCTTGAAGTTCTGCAGTGACCTTGAGCCAAGCTCATGAAAGTCTTGACTGTTGATCCTATATAGGCCGCCCGACTGTGTTTTCCTCAAGCCTGTCCCAAGTCCCTCATCAAGCTCCGAACACGTCCCATTCATCAGGAGGAAGGCTGCTGGCCCGATCCCTGGGTCCTCTTGGGCTGGTCAGGCTGTATAGACAAGCTCTTCCCCCTAGAGCTTACCCAGATACCCACCATACCACAGAGCAGCGGGCACAGCCCCTTCCCGCCTGCCGTACTGTCTACCTCTGCGGATTCTCTGCCTTCCAGGGAGAGGTGGCATTGAGGAGGTCTGGGAGCTGCCCAGAGATGGGCCCACAGGGGCCATGATCACAGCTCTGTTTCCCCTGCTTCCGCTAGAACTGGAGCCTGGTGGCTGGCCAAGTCGCTCGTCACAGGAAGAGAAGGCTATGTGCCCAGCAACTTCGTGGCCCGAGTGGAGAGCCTGGAAGTGGAGAGGTAGGTGGCCCGGGAAGCCCCCTGGAGCCAAGGTGCAGTCACTGTCTCTGCTCCCTGGGCTGCTAGGCAGGGCAGGGCCAGAATGGGACTGACCAGGGAGCCCGCAGGCGCCAGCAAAGAGGGAACAGGAAATTAGCTCTGCTGGAAAGGCCCCTCTGCTGGCTGCAGGTGACTCGTTCAGACCACTGTGTGACACTGAGCAGGCCACTGTGTGACACTGAGGAAGCTGCTGTGTGACACTGAGCAAACCACTGTGTGACACTTAGACACTGAGCAGGCCACTTTGTGACTCTGAGACACTGAGCAGGCCACTGTGTGACACTGAGGAAGCTGCTGTGTGACACTGAGCAAACCACTGTGTGACACTTAGACACTGAGCAGGCCACTTTGTGACTCTGAGCAGGCCGCTGTGTGACACTGAGACACTGAGCAGACCACTGTGTGACACTGAGCAGGCCGCTGTGTGACACTAAGCAGGCCTCTGTGTGACACTGAGCAGGCCACTCTGTGACGCTGAGCAGGCCGCTGTGTGACGCTGAGCAGGCCGCTGTGTGACGCTGAGACACTGAGCAGGCCACTTTGTGACACTGAAACACTGAGCAGGCTGCTGTGTGACACTGAGCAGGCCGCTGTGTGACACTGAGCAGGCCGCTGTGTGACTCTGAGCAGGCCACTGTGTGACTCTGAGCAGGCCACTGTGTGACACTGAGACACTGGGCAGACCACTGTGTGACACTGAGCAGGCTGCTGTGTGACTCTGAGCAGGCCACTGTGTGACACTGAGACACTGAGCAGACCACTGTGTGACACTGAGCAGGCTGCTGTGTGACACTGAGACACTGAGCAGGCCGCTGTGTGACACTGAGACACTGAGCAGACCGCTGTGTGACACTGAGCAGGCTGCTGTGTGACACTGAGACACTGAGCAGACCGCTGTGTGACACTGAGCAGGCTGCTGTGTGACACTGAGACACTGAGCAGGCCACTGTGTGACACTGAGCAAGCTGCTCTTCCCAGCTAAACAAGAGTGGTTCTTCTCCTGGCTTCCATAGATGGAACCGTCCCCCATGTCTGATGGCCTCGCAGGCTAACAGGGAGGCACTGTGACCACAAACCCTCCCCTGTATCCTCCACGAGCAGGACTCGGAGCTTAGCCTCGGAGGCTCCCAGGAGGGTGGCTTGTTCAGAACCGACTAACAGGAGAGCAGGATCCCAGCCTTCTAATTCTGCAGCCCCTCCTCCCCCATGTCCCTATGGCACTGGGAATGTCGGACTCGGCCAGCCAGGGCCCCCACAAATCCGTTCACAGGGCCCAGCTCTGCCTGAGGACTGGGGCCCAGCAACAATGAATCCCCACCCTGCATCTTTCCCCAGAATGGTGTGGGGAACCATGGGGCTCTCCCACATGTAATAACCCCATACTGAAGGGGACATGCTGGGGTCCCTGCTCAGCGAGTCTCGGCAGTTTGCCTCTTTCAGAGCTTGGGCGGCAAGGAGGCAGGTGTGTGCCTGTGATACGCAGCTGTGCTTTGGAAAGAGTGAGCAGGTGCATTTTTCCAAAGCAAGATTATCAAAAGTCACCCAAATAGTGTCCCTGTTTCGTTGCAGGAAACAGTGAGTCCAGGGCTGACAGGAAGGACGGGAAGGGCAGGGGGACAGAGGGCGGTGACTCCATCCCAGTGTGGGGAGCAGCAGCTCAGGGCCGACTTGGGAGCAGAAATGCTAGACTTTATTTCTTGGGGGTGGGCAGCGCAGGAGGGAGGCTCAGTGGGGATACTCTGAGGAGCAGGGCTGCTCTGAGGTTCGCCAGTTCCTGCTGTTTTCTAGGTGGTTCTTTAGATCACTGAGCCGCAAGGAGGCGGAGAGGCAGCTTCTGGCTCCAGTCAACAAGGCCGGCTCCTTTCTCATCAGAGAGAGTGAAACCAACAAAGGTAGGCGTGGTGGCCTTGCCCACCCTCCCTGCCCTGTGCATCCCGAGAGGCCCTCTCCAGAGGCCTGGCCCTGGAGTGAGAGGGGAAGGGGTGACTGCCAGGAGAACCAGCAGCTTCCAGGCCTGTCCCCCTCCCAATTCAGGCCCTGCCCAGGCGTTGACGTGGGGGCTGTCCACAAAAGCAGTCCTCCCTGTCCAGGCTGGAAAGCACCCGGGCATGGGAAGCCAGGTGGACGTGGGTGGCCCCATGCCAGACTGGCCATGTTGCCTGGTCAGCAGGAACACCAAGGCCAGTGGGGGCCGGGACAGGGGGATCGCTGAGCCCTCAACCACCAGCTACTTTGGAATCAAGGATTGGGGGAGCTCAAAGAATCCTTGGAGATTATCTCAGCCAGAGGCTGCAGGCAGCCTAGGTTAGGACGTGGCCTGTGCCTGATGTAAGGGAAGGGGGAGTGATTGTGGGAAGCCCAGTCCAGTCTAGACACTGACGAGTTCAAATCCACTGATGACTGCGCAAGACTTTGCACTACCCTCAGGGGTTTTCTTGCTTTCTCTGTCATTTGCTTTCTTTCTTTCCTAATGTTTTTTGGCGTAAAACAGAAAACATATACAAAGCTTGCATGAAGTATGAGTGCGTCATTCTAAATTATATAGGGTAATAATACACAAATCCCTGTGTAACCACAGCCAAGAGATAGAGCCTCTCAGACCACCAGGAGCCCCCCTCACTTCCTGACTTGGGCTCCTCTGGATTCAACCCCCACTCCCAGGAGCTCCCCGCTGTCCTGACTCGGGTGGAAACCCTTCCTCACTTTTCTGTGGTTTTGCCACCAGGTCTTGTCTGTTTCTTAGCTTTATGCAGATAGAATCACTGTGTTTGTTTCTGTGTGACTTGCTCCTGTCACTCAGCAGTGTTTGTGAGATTCTATGTTAGTTTCCTGGGCTGCTGTAACAAAGTTGCGCAGACTGGGTGGCTTCCGCGACAGAAGTTTATGTCACAGCTCTGGAGGCTTGAAGTCCAAGACCGAGGTGTCGGCAGCACTGGTCCCTCCCGAGGCCTCTCTCCTCAGCTTGCAGACGGCCGACTTCTCCATGTCCTCATGTGGCCGTCACTCCGAGTGTGTCTGTGTCCTAATCTCTTCTTATGAGGTCACCTGTCACACTGGATTAGGGCCCACCCATACGAACTCATTTTACCTTAATCACCCCTTTAAAGCCCTGTCTCCACATATGGCCACATTCTCAGGACTGAGGGGTAGGACTTTCACATAGGAATTGGGAGCACACATGATTCAGCCTGTAACAGATTCATGCACGTGGCTGGGATGGTAAGCCTGTTCATGTTCGTTGCTACAGAATCTCGGGTGTGACCCGTCCAGAGCCAAGTTAGCCATTCTTATGCTGTGGGTATTGGGTTGTTTCCAGTCTGGGCCGTTAATGCATGTGTTGCATTGAACTCTATTATGGTCCCTGGTTTTCACTGGCCACTAGCTTTTCATCTGTAAGATACTAATCCATTTGACAGACAGGCAAAGTGAGCCCCTGAAACAGGAAATGACTTGCCAGAGGCCAGCCATAAGCATCAGAGCCCGAGCACCAGTGGCCACATCATCTAAGAGGCTGAGAGGCTTCCCAGGCTCTACAATGTGGCAAGCTAGGGTGATCCAGGGACTTCCCACACAACATGAAGAATGCTTTGCTCATCAGGAAGCTGTCCACAGGGACTGGCTACAGCCTCGTGGCCAATTTTAACAGGAGAGGAGATGGTGACAGTGACATCAGAGGAGAGAAGGAAGAGAGAGTGACTGGAATATGAGTTTGGTTCCCTGTGGTTGGGGCAATGAGAATGGATGGCAGTGTTGCCTGGTGGGAGCACCCTTGGGCTGTCCCTTGATTTCATCTGTGGCTCAAGGACAGCAGCCAGAGAGTGGAAACCAGAGTATAGAAAGCAGTCATAGCACCCTGTGGCTCTCTGGGGAGATCCTGAGGCCCACTAACGGCCAGGACCAGGCTGGGGAGCAGGAGGGTCCATTGGAAAACTGGGGTGCTCTGTGCAGGATTTCTTGGAATGCACCAATGCCTGTATAACATTTTATATATACATATACATACGTATACATACACATAGATATATAAATTTTATATTTAGATGCATATTGGATATTGTCACTATTCCGTTTTTGTGGCAGAGCACCTCTGTCCAAGAAACAATTTGGGAGTCACTGGAGATGACATAAACGTTTGATTGTTGGTGCAGAGCCTTTCAAACATACACAGAAGTAGAGGAAATAGTTCAGTGGAACCCTGGTACCCAACACCGAGCTCCAACAGTTACCAACTGAGCCAGTCGTGTCTCATCTGTATCCCCCACTCCACCCCTGTTCTTTCAAAGCAAATCCCAAACATCATGTCATGTCACCCTAGAAATGATATTTCAACCATTGCCTATTGCTAAGGTGCCCTCTGATGTGAAAGCCCTGCCACCCGCCCCATCTGGTGTGGAGGAAGAGGGGGTTCTCTATGAGTCTCACATCTTTTCCTGTCCATGTCTACCCCAGGAAGCCAGTCCAAGCTGGGAACTGGCCAGATGGGACCAGGGCTGCAGGACTGTTCAACCATCATCACCTCAGCACATGCACATACACATGCACACATGTATACATGTACACACTCATATATACATGTGCATACACAGGCGTGTGTGCACACCATGCATACACATACACATGCACACACATGCACACATGCACACACATACACACATGTGTGTATACAGGCATGTGCGCACACCATGCATACACATACACATGCACACACACATGTGCACATGCACCTGCATACATAGGCATATGTGCACACCATGCATACACATGCACATACACATGCACATATGCATACATGCACACTCATCCACACACATGCACACACATACAAGCACACACACGCACACACATGCACATATGCACACACATGAACACATGCACTTGCACACATACACATGCGCATGTGCACATATGCAGCCACGCCTCTTCCTCCTGCCCAGGTTACCCCCAGCTGTGTACCTATTTTCATCAAGGAGCTATCGTATGACAGAAGAAACTCATTACATAGGGGAGGGGTGGGAAAGGGGCAGGATATGTACACACCTCACACACACATATGCACACATACACAACTACAAAGCAAGCCCTGTCTGTATCTGGGAGCAACAGCAGTGATTCAAGACAGGGATGGAAGCAGGGGAAAGAGTCCTACCCCTTGTGGCCTCCACGGTGTCCCTGAGCCTGTCAAGCCTCAGTTTATTGGTGTCTATGTGAGGACAGACTGGCTTCCCAGCTCAGCATCAGGCAGTCCTTCAGTGCTGAGACATCATCATCTCAGAGCCAGCCCCTGCTTGCCCAGGGCAGTCCAGACATACTACAGAGGCAGGGGGTCCAGGTTTTGTGAACCTGAAGCTGATAGGATCTGAGGTCCTCTTTAAGAAGGAGACAGAATTGTCAGAAGCCATCAGGGACAGGGCCTCAGTGCAGCCCAGGTTAGTGAGAGTGGCCTTTAGGTCAGTGAGCTTGGCCAACATCACTGCCTGGAGAGCAGGCTCCTGGGCTCATCACCTGAGACATCTGACACAGATGCAGCCTACAAAATAGGGAGAAAGCCCTTGATTAATGAACTCCCTAAGGCCAGCCTTGGGTTCCTTACAGACTGGGGGCACAGCTGCAGCTGGGCAGGGGTGGGAGGAGAGCCTGCAGCATCCTGGCTGAGGCTCGGGTTGGGGGCATGGGCTGGGTTGGTGCACGCCTCTGGGCGTCCTTTTGTAGGTAGGTGATGAGAGAGAGGCACACTGGCTGAGGGAAACTGGAGGGGAGGAGGGGGTTGAGGTGGAGGAATGGACAGGAAAGGAAAGAGCCTTAAGTCAAACGGGACCGCGGAAAACCAACGTCCACACCAAGAACGAGGCTCCGTGCCTGACCCCTGGCGGAGAGGCGTGGTACTGCTCCCAGTAGGCCCCAATGGCCTGCTGAGAACTCTGCCGGGCCCCAGCAACCCCATCTCCCAAATAATGGGTGAGGGGAGGGTGGGGTCATGGTACCCAGGTAGCTGGACAGACGCATTTTATAAAAACATCAAGCTCATGGAAAAACGCTTCTCATCGGGAAACTCTTACCTCTTAAATTGTCCTTAACCCTTAACATCTGCTGCCACTTGCCTGCAGGAAAACATTAAGCCAGAAGACAAAATGATAGGTTCATGTAACAGGCAGCAAATGAATTTGAACAGAGCCCCTGGGAATAGCTCATTACGCTCTCCACCATGGACATGGGTACTTGCAGCTGTGATTGGCTGTCTGCCTGTAGGAGTAAGAGACATCCTCCTTAGCCAGAAAATAAAGCTCCTAGTCCCTGCATCGAGACTAGATTTCTCAGTAGTCCCTGGCAAAGGGTCCCCGAGTGACCAGGTGCCCAAGTGGGGACCCACATGATTACTGAGAAAATGTCCTGCCTGCCACAGAGCTCTGTGATCCCCTGGCTGATTCCCTGGGGGACATGGGGGGGATGTCAAGGTCAGAGTCAGGCGGAGCTTACAGGAAAGGCTTCCGACAGCGTGGAGTTTGAGATGCAGGGCGAGGGAACTTGTGGTGGGAGTGGTGACAGTGGAGGACAGCACTGGGGAACTTTTGTCAAGCTTTAAGATGAGGCCCAAATCCCAGTCCTCTGTTTCATGCCTTACTCCTTGTGCGTGTGTCTCCATGAACCCTGCAGGTGCCTTCTGCCTGTCTGTGAAGGATGTCACCGCCCAGGGGGAGCTGATCAAGCACTATAAGATCCGCTCCCTGGATGAGGGGGGCTACTACATCTCCCCCCGGATCACCTTCCCCTCGCTGCAGGCCCTGGTGCAGCACTATTCTAGTAAGACGGGGTGGGCAGTGCGCGTGGGGACTTGTGCCAAGAGCCCCTGTGTCTCTCGCTAAGATCCCCAATTGTGTGGGTCATTGGTGCCACCTTGGGGGAAGGGAAGATCATCCCAAAGCTAGACCTAAGGAGGTAGCAGGTCTCAGCACTATGAATTGGTGGCCCTAACACCCTCTCCTGGCTCAGCAGGGAACCCCTTAGAAAGCAGCAAGTATTTTCTGTCTTAGAGTGAGCAGGTCAGTTTTACAGATAGCATGCCCTGCTTTGTGCAAAGAGAGAGAGCTAAGTGTGTGTGCGTGTGAGCAGGTGTGTGCACACGCCCATGCAGGGGGGTTGGGGTGGCTGGGGGAGTGAGGGGCCCAGCTAGGAGCAACACGGCTCCCAAGAGAAAGCCTGGCTGCTCTGGTGACCCCCAGCCCTATCTTTTCTTTCCTAATGCAGAGAAGGCGGATGGTGTCTGCCAGAGGTTGACCCTGCCCTGTGTGGGCCTGGCCCCGCAGAACCCCTGGGCCCAGGATGAATGGGAAATCCCCAGGCAGTCTCTCAAGCTGGTCAGGAAACTCGGGTCTGGACAATTTGGCGACGTCTGGATGGGTAAGTGTGAGCACATGCGGGAGTCCTTCTCCCCTGCGTTCCACGCACAATGCATCCTGAGTCCAGAAGTGACTGTGGAAGGCTGAAGCTTCAGTATTTTTATAGAGTGTCATCCCTCCCCTGGAAGACTTGGGAGGGAGCGAGGACAGAGGCAAGGACACCCATTTTACAAAGGAGCCGGAGGAGGTTCGGAGCTGTGTTGTAACAGCTGGGTCACTTACTGTGGTGGCAAAGCAGGAAGAGAACCCAGCTCTCCCAGCCCCAGGTCACTCCCTCCCTCGTTCTCTGCCTGCACCTGGCTTTTTCATTGAGCTGCAATGGTGCTAACTCCCCTTAGCTTTCCATTACCCAGATGGAAACAGGAGGTTCAAGGTGCTGAGCCATGAGGTTCCAGGGTCTGAGTGCACGCTGGGGCAGCTGTGGGACTTCGGCCAAGTCACGGAACCTCCAGGCCCGGGGTCCTCACGTTTCCATTGCTGCTGACACCTGCCCCATCCGCTGCCTACCAGAATATGAAACTCGTGTTCCGTTTTATCCCTGGACTGGTCCACGAGTCCTCCATTGCCTGGGGCTGATACCCAAGGTGCCTTTGGCAAGAGCTGTGCCCAGGTCCCTGGCAAGTCCCAGATCCTCTAGAAAGGCGAGTAGAGTTGTCTTTGGCCCTTCAGGGTGCACAGGGACTTCCTGGAGTGCAGGGAGAGCGTGGAGATACAGGTAGTTTAAGGACTGAGACAGGTCCGCCATGGGGCTTCAGAAGGAAGGAGACCCCCACTCCCCTTCCTCCTGCCCAGGTTTCCCCCCGCTGTGTGCTATTTTCATCAAGGAGCCATTGTGTGATAGAAGAGACTCATTACATAGGGGAGGGCTGGGAAAGGGGCAGGTTACCTGCAGGACAGAAGAACACAGACCTTGGGTGTGGGGCAGAGAGGCGAAATGGACCCCAAGCAGGGTACATTCCTCCATTGCCTGAGGCCCCGTACGGTAGGGGCCTGGGACACAAGGTGGGCCCCACGCGACCACGGCCTCCGGAGCTGCACGTTCCAGCTCTGGCACCTGGAATGGGCTGGCTCCTGGGCACTTACCCCGATTTTGGTTAAGCGATCACCTCCAAGCAAGGTCTCTGTCTTCTGAGCGGTTTCTTCTTTCCCCCCGGGCTCAGGTTACTACAAAAACAACATGAAGGTGGCCATCAAGACACTGAAGGAGGGAGCCATGAGTCCAGAAGCCTTCCTGGGCGAGGCCAACGTGATGAAGACCCTGCAGCACGAGCGGCTGGTCCGGCTCTACGCTGTGGTCACCAAGGAGCCCATCTACATTGTCACCGAGTACATGGCCAGAGGTGGGGCCCGCAGAGCTGCGTCCTCAGAGCGAGGCAGGAGGGTGATCTTAGCAGGAGGAGGGGATTGCGACAGCGGGTTCCCCAGGCCAGGGGGTCTCCACAGACAGCTGTTAGCCAGCATCCTGCAGACCTAGGGCACGGCGTGGCATGGGGGCCCGGAGGGACGGAGGGAGGGTGAGAAACGGGAGGGCAAAGTGGTTCTGACGGAGCCACGTCCTCTGCCCAGGAGCAGCTCAGCCAGCATCTCTGGAGTGCATCCTCTGTGCCCAGCACTCTTTGGTGCCTGCTGGGAGGGACAGAGCGTTGCCAAGTCAAAGGAGCCCCAGGCCAGCTGTGCAGGGACCATGCTACACCCAGGTCTACTGCTTCCTGGTCGGGGAGCCTTTTACAACTGTGTGAATATTTTACAAGGATGGCCAGAGAGGTTGGGCTCAATGGCCTCTGAGGTCCCCAGCATGGCCAAATTCTCACGGGGCAGGAGGCCTGGGATCGGGCTGAGCCTTTGACATTCTCACCCCTCCTGTGACCCTGACCACACACTGCCCCTGTATGATCCTAACCTGCCCATCTAATACAGCTCCCTAACAACTGTCCCCAAGGGGGCCCCAGTCTGAGACTGTGCTGGGGGCGCCTCCAGCCTGCCCCTAAGGCAAGCACTCATCCCTCCCAACGCTCGGATTCCAGGGGAGCTGCATTTGTCCCCTGCGCCAAACCTGGGGGTAGTTCTCTCCCTCTGGTGCTTTCTTGCTGATGCCTGGTCCTCAGAGGCAGAGCGTGTCTGCCAACAGGGATCAAGGGAGCGAGGCTGACATGGGGGAAAAGACAAGAGGGGCGTCAACCGTAGAGTCAGAACTGGGGCTCTCCTCCCAGCTCCCCTCCGGGTGACCTCAGACAGGTCCTGCACCTGGCTGAAACCTAACTGCTGGGCAGCTGCTGGTATATGTGCTACCTCCTGGGGTGCTGAGCCTGGCATTTTGTGAAGGGGAAGGCACTTGACAGCAGCAGGTAGGTCGTTCCTGCTGCACCAAGAGATCTGAGGGTGCAAACTCCCACTTCACACCCCCGTGGGAAATGCTCATGCTGGGAGAGGCCGGCACCGCCAGGGGTGGGCACTTTGCAGAAGGCTACTTGCAGCTTCTCTTTTCTTAGGATGCCTGCTGGATTTCTTGAAGACGGATGAAGGGAACAGATTGTCACTCCCAAGGCTGATCGACATGTCGGCCCAGGTTGGTGAAGGACCAAGTGCAGAGGAGGGGCGGCATGTGCCCTCTGACTTCCCGAGGCCCTCTCCTCCTCCCAGCCCTGGGGCTTAACAACATCAATGATTCAGAGGTTGTAGCAGTTAGAGTTAGGCTGGACTGTGAGGAAGAGAAAGCCTGAAGTCATAAGAGCTTAGATGTGTAAACATCAGGACGTGGGCAGTCCCTCCACGTTCTCCCACCTGCTGAGATCTCAGGGTGCCACTTTCTGCCGACAATGGCCGCTTATGTCTTAGCACCCCATCCTCTCCTCAGCCAGCAGGGGAAGTCAGGTGCACGGAAGGCCACCTTCCTCTAGGCACACGTCTCCAAGGTCACCCACTGCACTTGCACCTGCATGCCCGGGCTGCTGTGCCTCCTGCCCCACGCAGCATCGAGGGAGCCTGGGCCATGAAGCCTTCGTCCCGGGCAGCTGTGATGGAACGAGGCTGTTCTGTTCCGAGGGAAGCAAGGGTGAATGGGCATCATGGGAACACACAGGGTCAGTGAGAGTTCCACTGGACCCGCAGTGAGGGTGTTCTGTGGTGACCTCACCCCTTCCTTAGATGGTACCCACAGACGTCTCCAGTAGGAGGTCACTGAAAACGTGCCTCCCACCCCAGGGGCCCTCAGCCCTTGCCCAGCCCTGGCATCGACCCCAGGCTGATGGGCAGGCCTGGGCCACACACAAGTGCCAGGGACGTGACTTCTCTGAGCCCTGGAGGACCACCCCCCCTTCTGCCACCAGGAAATTACGAGTGCTGGGCCTCCTTGGCTACCCTGGACTGGCCCTCACATTCACATGCAGAACCTTCCAGACTCCATGAGGTGAAGAGCAGAGTGGAGGCGAGGGTGTGGAGGCGAGAGCTCTAGCTGGCAGGAAGCACATCTGGTGGCCCTGTTAAAACTGGAACTCTCAGCAGAAACGTTTCTCTCTGTGGTCAGCCTGTGAGGCACACACCTGGGTGCACACACACCCGCCAGCCACCGAGAGGAAACCCTCCCACCTACCACCCACATCAGCCCTCCCCCATCACCCAGACTCACCCAGGAGCCCCACTGCAGGAACTGATGCCACAACGCCTTTTTCCACTGAGGTGGGCAGAGAGCCGTCTGGGCAGGCTGGCGAGATGGTTTTGGAAAATGAGTGCTGGTGATGGGCTTCAAACCCCAGGCCAGCGATAAGCCTGCCCACTGATTCTTTTTCCTTTCCCCTTCCTTCCCTCACCCTCCACTGTCTCTTATTCAGTCCCCACGACACCCCCTTGGGAAATCTTGGGTGAACCAGAGGCAAAGGATGTGAAAATCCCATCTGAGTTTAATACCTGGATGTGGTCACAGAGCTGGGGGTGAGGAGTCAGAAAATCAGAACCTTCCAGATAGGAAGCCTCTAACCACATGCTGACCATGCCAGAGGCTCTCCAGGCGCACACACACACACACACACACACACACACACACACACGCACACACACAGCCTCACACACAGCCTCACACAGAGACTCACACACACAAACTCACACAGTAACACACAAACAGACTCACATACATACAAACTCACACACAAACATGCAAACTCGCACACGAGCAGACACACGGCCTGCCCTTCTGGGCTCTTCTTTTCTTACTCTATAGGATGAAATGCAAAGTCTCAAGGCCCGAACTGGCCAACCCCACAAGACCCCTGCAACCACAATCCCACAGGCCCCACTTTGCAGCCAGATGGCCCTGGTCCCTGTGCCCCATGCCTAGCCACCCCTCTGTCTCCTTTGCCCGTGAAAGCTGAGCTGAGCCATACTCAACATTTTTAAAATACATATTTCTGGTACTGCTCAATAAATATTAGTTATCAGAATGAGTGCTGTTAGATGCTGCCCTGATATATTTAGTACTCAGTTTTATATTCCCCACAGTCCCATACTAATAAATGTGCACTGATTGAATGGTATAGCAAGGGGATGATAGATGGATGGATGGATGGATGGATGGATGCATGGATCCATGGATGCATGGATCCATGGATGCATGCATAGATGGATGGATGCATGGATGGATGGATGCATGGATGGATGGATGCATGGATCCATGGATGCATGCATAGATGGATGGATGCATGGATGGATGGATGGACGGATGGATGAATCGATGGATGAGATGGATGCATGGATGGATGAATGGATAGATGGACGGCTGGATAGATGGGTAGGTGGATGAATGGATGGATGGTTGGATGCATGGATGGATGGATGGATGGATGCATGGATGGATAGAGGGATGGATGGATGGATTGATGGATGCATAGATGGAGGCATGGATAGATGCATGGATGCATGCATGGATGAATGGATACATGGACGGATACATGGATAGATGAATGGATGGATGGATGGATGGATGGATGGATGGATGAATTGATGGATGCATGGGTGGATGCATGAATGGATGTATGGATGAATGGATACATGGATGGATACATGGATAGATGAATGAATGGATGGATGGATGGATGGATGGAGGGATGGGTGGAAGGATGGGTAGATACATGGATGCATGAATGGATGGATGGATGGATCATGTATAGATAGATGAATGGATGGATGGATAGATGGATAGATGAATGGATGGAGGGAGGGATGGATGGATGGATGGATGGATGGATGGAAGGATGAGTTGAATGCATGGATAGATGGATGGATTCATGGATAAACCAATGAAATGCAAGAATAAGGAGAAGTGGGATCAATTCTAGTGCCGGCTTCTTGCAATCGCAAGTCTGATGAGGTAAATGTGCTCTCTGTTTTCTGTCTGCCTTAGTTTCTTCATCCATTGGTTGAGTGAACAGAGCCTTAGTTTCCTCAGCTACAAGGCACCAAGCAGCACAAGCTGCTATCCGTGGCCCAGGCTGGTGAGCTGGGGAGGAGAGACGAGGCTTGCTTTCCTCAGGGTTTCTGTCCACCCAGATCTGCCAGTGCTCCCTGGGTGCCCCCATGAGGCAGGTGTTGGGCAAGGTCCTCAGTCACAAGTCACCTCGTCTAATGCTTGCCTCAACCCCGCACCCTGAAGACCACATCCCTCACGTTCCAGGTCAGGACTGTGGCCCCTCAGGGAGGTTAAGCAGCTTTCTGGAGGTCAGCGACTCCAACCAAGGGCTCCCAGCTCCAGGAGCTGTGCTTCCAGCCAGCCGGGAAGAGTCACCTGTCCCTGTCTCCTGCTCCCCGTCTCCTTCCTTCCCTTTCTTCTTTTCTCCCTCCCTCTCCTTTTCTCCTGTCTGTGTTCTTCTGCCTTCTACCTCTGCAGACCTTGGACACAGCTGTGTTGAGGGAAAATGAGGAGGGGAAGGAGCACAGGTAGCCCCAGTGTCTCTGATGCCCACGTCACTGCCGTTCTGGGCTTCTAGGAGAGGGGTTTATTCAGCTGAGGAGCAGCATAGCCAACTTTCTACTCTGCCCAAGAAGCAGCTCCTTCCCCAGCAGCCCACAGGGGCTGTGCAGGGGCCACAGGGTGGGCTCGGTCCTGGTGTGGAGGCCCCAATGATGTCCTTCACCGTGTGCCTGTTCCCTCAGATTGCTGAAGGGATGGCGTACATCGAGCGCATGAATTCCATCCACCGCGACCTGCGGGCGGCTAACATCCTGGTGTCTGAGACCTTGTGCTGCAAGATTGCTGATTTTGGCTTGGCTCGGATCATCGACAGTGAATACATGGCCCAGGAGGGTGAGTACAGCCCCCAACCACGAGGGAAACCTGAGCCCTTACCTTCCCCAGCCCCCCAAAGCCCCCTTAATTCCTCCCAGCACAGCCCTGAGGGAAGACACCCGCGGGCTAGACGGTTTCCACAACTCTGCATCAGCATTTCTTTCACTTCCCCAATGTGTTCAGCAGCATAGTAGAGCACTAAGACCTCCCATGGAGGAACAGTTTTAGGATAAGGTAGGTTTGGAGAAACAGTAGTACACCCCCTCCGTGCCTTGGAGATTCCCAGTGTATATCAACATATTAAAGGCACTGAGAAGTCCTGCAGCAAAGGAACCGTTTATGTTTGCCTCACCTAGTGCCTTCCAAACTAATTTGAGCTCCAAATACTGTTTTTTGTTTTTTGTTTTAAGATGGAGTCTCTGTCACTCAGGCTGGAGTGCAGTGGCACAATCTTGGCTCACTACAGCCTCCGCCTCCTGTGTTCAAGCAATTCTCCTGCCTCAGCCTCCCAAGTAGTTGGGATTACAGGCAAGAGCCACTACACCTAGCTAATTTTTGTATTTTTAGTAGAGACGGGGTTTCATCATGTTGGCCAGGCTAGTCTTGAACTCTTGACCTCAGGTGATCCGCCTGCCTCAGCCTCCCAAAGTGCTGGGATACAGGCGTGAGCCACTGTGCCCAGTCCCAGATACTATTTTTATGTAGCAACTATTAACCTTCCACAGAAGTGTGCTTTCCCAGAGCACACTGCGGGAAACGGCTCTCATGCATGAGCAGCAAACCTTCTGAATCAGGGGCTCCACGGAGCACTCTGTCTTATTCTGTGAATTAGAATCTCCACAGAGCCCTCTGTCTTACTCCATGAATATAACTGAGGTGGAAATCTCCTTCACAAGAGAATCTGAAGTGATCACACACATTTATCAAGCAAGCAAGCTGTATTCGCTTCACATATGAGTGACAAGCAGACAGGATATGGCTTGCTCTCTCGGGAACTCAGCCTTGCTGGGGAGACCAAGAAGTGCCAGACCCTGAGGCCTGCTCCAAGTGCTGGCCAGGCCCAGCCACCTCGGGCTTCACAGGGTGGCCAGATGTGAGTCCTTCCTCGCAGCGGCCTCCCAGGTACCAGTGTCGCCATTTCCATTTGGCAGGAAGGGACTCACGGAGGCTCCACCAGCTTTGAATGGCTCTCCTAGGCTGTGTTTTCTTTATTAAACAAGGCCCCTGTGAGGCGGAACACGCCCCTTCCATCCCAGGTGGAAATGTGGTGGCTGCCCATTGAGGCCACTCATTGTCTTTTTAAAGAACCAAAGTGGGTGACTGCTTGGTACTGGTGTCCATGTTGTCCTTCTGTGCTGCAGATGCCTCTGCGCTCACCTGGCATGCATCCTGATGTGTGGCACTGGCTCCCCCACTGTGTCTGGCTTCTCCGTCCTGCAAGGCCCCACATTGGGGGACTGAGGGAAGGACAGCAGGAGCAGGGGTAGGGGTGAGGGTAGGGTGAAAAGTAGAGGCCACCTGCCATGGCCTCCCAAAGCTGTGCATGGCTTTTCCTGCAGGGGCCAAGTTCCCCATCAAGTGGACTGCCCCAGAAGCCATCCACTTCGGGATCTTCACCATCAAAGCAGACGTGTGGTCATTTGGAGTCCTCCTGATGGAAGTCGTCACTTACGGGCGGGTGCCATACCCAGGTAGGCAGCTCGCTCCGCAGCTCTCGAGGGCTTCCTGCTTTCCCTGCCAGCTCTGATGGCAGGTCCTGTCCTCGTGCCTGTGGCTACCCCCTTCTTTTCAGAGTGAGTCCCAGGGTGGGGATGGAGACCCAGGTGTGGCATCTGGGGTGGAGCTCTGGCTGCTGCATCACTATTGCTCCAGGCCACAGGGCTGTGTCTCCTTCTTCCAGCAAAGGTGATGAGCCCCACAAACTAGAATCAAGACAAAAGGTACACCTGAATTCAAAGTTACTCCCAGTGGTCTGTTCTCATTTGAGGACAGGTTGTGCCTACCTTGGCATCACACCCATAGTGGATTCCAAAAGCCCCATCCTGAGTGGGCAGAATCGTGGACGCCAGTCCCCAGCCCCTGTCAGAAGGGCTTGGACCGCTTGGCCCGGGCAGCTGGGCAGGCTCGGGGTCACCTGCTGCTGTGTGCACCTGCCAGCTGCCTGTGAGTGATGGGCTTGGCTGTGCCCCTGGCAGTCACAGTAATCAAGACAAGGAGGGTCCCATCCGCAGAGGACCTGCTGACACGCAGGAGAAAATCTGCAGTCTCTTTCCTAGGCGTTCCCCAAGCAATAAAAAGGATTGTTTAGAGGCTGGGCCTGTGGGCACTTGCTGTCCCCCGTCTGGGCCCACTGTGCCCCGCGGGCCGCTCAGGGCCCCCCACCCACTAGGGACCCCTGCCCCTCATCCCCGCTCGCGGTCCCCTCTGCCTCTGCCGCAGGGATGAGCAACCCCGAGGTCATCCGCAGCCTGGAGCGCGGCTACCGCATGCCGCGTCCCGACACCTGCCCGCCGGAGCTGTATCGCGGCGTCATCGCCCAGTGCTGGCGCAGCCGGCCCGAGGAGCGGCCCACCTTCGAGTTCCTGCATTCAGTGCTGGAGGACTTCTACACGGCCACCGAGCGGCAGTACGAGCTTCAGCCCTAGCCAGCCCGAGCCCGCCGGCGACGCGTGCCCACCGCTGCGCGGACGACCTCGCAGTTCCGTGCCAGCACCGACGTGCAGTGAAGGCACCGGGAAACCAGAGGGCAGAGGCAGCTCTGCAGGGGGGGTGCCCGGACAGACTCCTTCCCCGGCTGTGCGCCCTCGGGTGAGTTACGCGGCCTCTCTGTGCCGCCCCATTTGTAAAGAGGGCTGTGTCAGTGACCTGGCACGGGCACCCCGAGTACTAAGTTAGCCCCCTAAGGTGTTTGGGACTAGTAAGCAACTGATAAGGCCCCAGTGCTGGGCCTTGACCGAGGAGTCACCGCCGGTGGCCACGTCCAGGCCGCCGCGCCCTGCGAGGACCTCGCCCTGTGCCTCTGCAGAAGCTGGAATGGGTCCCCACCCCGCCACCCGACGCCAGCAGGGGCAGCCCCAGCCTAGGCTGCGCTCTGGCACTGCGGAGCTTTTCCATAATAAAGTCACGAGCGTTCGAGATTTCCATGTCGTTACCGTGACAAGCCGGACATCGCGTGCAGGACGCGCACGGGGTGCACGCCTGGCGCAGCCGGGGGTCCCGCGTGGCCTGGGCTCCGGGAGCTCGAGCGGGGCCAGCAGGGGGCGCTGTGGCATCATAAATCCGTGGCCCGGGCCCGCGCAGGGAGCGCTGTGCGGGGCAAAGCCCGGAGCTGTTGCTGGGGGCCGGCGCTTTGCGGGGGCGGCCAGGATGAGAACCCAGCCCCCAAGGCCAGGTGCAGGAAGGAGGATCGGGTGACGGTGGGCATCGAAGCGCGGCTCCCACTGCATGGAGGCTCTTCACTTTGCATGTTTTCGTTTTGTTTTTAATGGATCCAGTTTTTATTTGAGCAGCTTAGGTTTACAGAAAAAAAAAGGTAGGAAGCAAGTAGACAGTCTCCATATCCAGCCCATCTCCCCCGTTACTAACAACTGCCAGCGGTGGTGCATTTGTTACCACTGATGAGCCAATACTGATACAGTGTCATTAACTGAAGCCCACCTCTTCATCCAGGTTCTCGCTGCAGTGTTGTACATGCCATGGGTGTAGACGAAAGCAGAGACTTGTACCCACCGTTCTGGGCCCACTGGTCGAAAGCCCCCTGGCCCCACCTGTGCACCCCCTTCCTTCCCCTTGAACCCTCGGCAAACGTCTTGTCAGTGTTGACTCCTCTGACTGTGAGAACGCCCCGAGGCAGGAGTCTTGCCACCCCAAGGTGGAAACTGAGGCACAAAGCTCTCACACACAGCTCACAGGCAGCAGGACGGGGGTGGAGGTGGGGGTGAGCTGCAGGCCCGGGCAGCAAAGGATGAGAGTGGGGCCTTGGTGGGAGAACCTCGGAGAAGGGACAGTCCCTGCAGGGGTGCTGGTGACAGCCATCAGCCAGGAAGGACGCAGTCCACATAGCTGTTCACCTGCAGTCTCTGGATTCTCCAGCAGCCCGGGGGGGGGGGGGGGGGGGGGGGGGGGGGGGG